CCCCCCCGTGATTCTTTGCCAGTTCCCAGCTTGTTTCTTCTAACACAGCAGTTCATAATCTACTTATCAGGAAGGCAGTTAAATAGAGCCACTCATTAATAAAGTAGATGTTTCTGAATACTGGAGTGATTCTTTAGGGATGAAAAAAATCAGTTTCTACATTTAAAAAGAAGACACCCCCCCCCCCTCCGTACCATGATAATGGATGGGTATGCTCAGTGCCTTGGGAATTCAAGAGTAGAAGCAGTTGGGAGTCAGTTAAGGCAGAAGGCAGGAACTGTGGAAGATGGGGAAATTTGCCTCTGAGAGCTTGTAGTATTTGATCAAAGGCATTTGGATGGGGGGAGGGAATTGTCAGTCACCCACAACATGTAAATCCTTGAAGGCCTACAGTTTAGTTGATTTTCATCCTGAAAAGGTGTGGTTTAATTAATATTCCTCCATCAATGGCATAGATATTTTGCTTTATGCTGCATTAGTGTAATAGGCCACTGGGAACCCACAGTTCTTCTGTATATGCAAATATTGTTCAACAGATTTTATGAAGCCTTTGAGGTCACACAGTGAACACAATGGCTGATTGAGAACACTTACCTTGAAACATCTAGAGTCTTGCTGCCTTTCTGTTTTACACAATAACAGGTATAACCTATATGCTATATAACTAGGGAAAAGGCCCATTGTAGAAATAAATACAATGGCCTCTAGAAAGAGGCTCTGGGCGGTTGCCCCAACCTTGGACACTCAGTGTCAATTTGATGTGGCGACCTCAGCAGGGTATAATGACAGAGTCCACCATTTTCTCCAGGGGAACTGATCTATGCTATCTAAAGAACAGTTGTAATTTTGAGTGATCTCCAGCCCTCACCTGGAGATTGGCAACGATGGTTCCCCAGAAGGGACTAGTTGGTTTGGAGGGTGGAGTCTATGGCTGAAACCTCACCCTCTCCAGGCTCCATCCCTCACATCTCCAGGAATTTCCCACCTGGAGTTGGCAACCCTATCTCCTTCCCAGCCAATCATCAACCTACCTTTATTTTCCCCTCACTCTTCAGCTTTCCACCCCCCACACACCTGCAGCCTCTCCCATGCTCTGAGGCCCTGACTGCTATGTCACATTGGCTGTCATATGGGGGCCACCTCAGCAGCATATAAGGATACAGAGCCCACCATTTTCTCCAGGGGAACTGATCTCTGCCATCTGGAAAGCAGTTGTAATTCTGAGTGATCTCCAGCCCTCACCTGGAGATTGGACACATTTTACCTCAGAACAGCAAACTGTTTAGAATGCTAGAGGCAAAAGCCAATCAAGTGGCATATGCAAACGACCTCTGTGTTCCGAGGCAGAGGCCAATGAGGCTGCATATGCAAATAACCTCTGTGTTCTGACTGGGGGGGGAGAGGAACAGCAAAATGTTTAGAATGTTGGAGGCAGGACTCAGGCAAAGCA